AACACCAAATCGGATTATTCAATGGTATTGCTGAATGATATATGTAATTCTTTTCAAAGTTTCGTAGCCATCGCATTAAAGCCAAAAAAGTTATGACGAAAATTTTGTCTTAGCTCAGTGCGCCTGTATTAACAAGACACTCTTAAAGTGTTAACTCGAGGTTGCTTGGAGATTAGATAAGAAATGAGGAGGAGATAAATTCTTGAGGAGCCAGTGTGCAGCCAGGCATAGGTTACACAGTTACTACTGACTGCTTTATGGTACATAGAATAGTCAGACTAAACTTAAACTGGTAAAAGATTATAGTTCAATCGTTACAGTTTACAAATCTAAAGTGAAAATTTCGAATGATGTCTAGGCGATAATGCAGTGTAATTTCAAACAATCTTCCACAGTCAAAGGCAATACTATGAGGCAAAGATCGAGCCCTTCGCAAATCTACGACATCAAGGAAACATCAATGAAGACGTCAGTATGAAAAATAAATACACATTTTCCAAACTAGAGAACTTTGAAAATAAATAGACTAGTTCAATTTGTAAACTTGTAGTTTCCATTGACCGATGAAGTGCTGCAAGTAGAGTGCGTGACAGCATTTATAAAGTGCAACGCGACTTCACATCTCAACAATTGCAAAAATCTATCAATTAAATACATGCAACAAAGTGAATCTGTAATATCGAATCTATTTAGCCATCGAGTTCCAGTAATTGCGTCAACATTCTGAGAAACGTGATGCCTCATTACACCACGAAACAGGATTTCTTTCACGTCCTACTTTATCGACGGTCGAGTATTCCTCAGGGTATTTGCTTTTTAATACGCGTGTATGAATACACAAAAATCAAGGGCCTTGATTCAGGGAAAATTACGTCATTGCCAAAAAGCCAGAACGTGATCAACTACGCGCATCACCTCAATCATCGCCGTAAATAAACCACATGCTCATCACTAGTCTCACGAAAATTTGCATACAATGAAAGTCGTCACAATTCTTAGTCCCAGTTCTCCACGTTCTCCGCTAGGGACGCCTGGGAGCCCAACCTCTTTTGTAAATACAAAGAAGAAAAGCGGCTTGCAGATTATGACTCTCGGTGCTACGCAACTTCCAGTGATAAGAGAGCCACCTTAAGGCAATGCCTTATGCGGTACAATAAATTATTACAAGAACTTATTAAATGTACTTGTTTGATAGTGATTTAAACGTAGTGTGGAAGTGGGGGTGGGGGCTGTTCGAAACAACAGGTTCGACCGGATAACCCAACTTTGTAGTGAAAAAGGCCTATTTAGGAGGCTTTGTTTTAACAATTCTGCTGTTTTTGATTGAAACAACGTGATCATTTCAGGTTCACATGTTAGCGCGAGTTTCCAAACATATCCCTTTGAGGGTGTCTTCAGACGACCAAACTTCGCCTTTGAGTCAAGAAAGTGAGTAGTACTATGTAACTCTCGTTTATTCGTCCGTTTCTCTCGCGCATGTGGGCACATTGACCCACAAGGGTACCATGCATGTCCATGGTTTGCATGAAAGGTATTTTCAACTTTCATGCACAGTAATTCAAGCTTTCCTTTTTCAGCGTTTCTGCATAAACTCTTTAAAATGTCTTGAAATTTCAAGGTAGGGTAATTGAAAGTCATTTTTTTTAGTACAAGCCTTGAAACTATAATTAAAGGGGTTATGCAACCGGATATTGCTGTTTTGCGTTAAAGGAGCTGTGTCACGAAATTCAGCCAAATTAGGAAATTACAAAATGCCTGTTAAATTAAGAGAAACATAAAAATAACCGCTTTTAACTTTAAAGGAAGGTTAAAATAACATGACGCAAACAACAGATGTCACGGATGGGCAAAACTGGAGAAGATTGAAACGGATTAAAATTAGGATTTTTGAAAACTGTTCAGCCTAACAGTTTTTCAAAGTTGATCCCTGCTGCTTGTAACTTCAAAAATAATGCTCAGGAGACATATTTGTTTGTCTCCGCTTACTTTAAGTTCAATAGCGATTGAAGGCGAGTAATTGGCAAAATTAAACAAAACGAACTGGACTGCCTGACACAGCCCCTTTAGTTCTTTACTTAGTTATTACTTGGTACCTTAACCCATACACAAAACCTCTTCGTACCGCGAACAGTACACAACCTTTGGCTTCTAACGCGGTTTTGTTAAACACCAGCTCAACTCTGAATTAATAACTAGTTCGTATGCTTGGCTCGGTGAAGAATGAGAAAGGTATTATTTTTGTAATATGGCGAGCTTTGGACACAGTAAGTTATTTTACCGGTTGTCAAAAAACTGACAACTGATTGCTGATCTACACGAACACTACATTTGTAACTAAGTGACAGATTTATTGTGCAAGGTCTTTGATATTTTGTGGATCATAAAAACCTAAAACGGTTTTCTTTTTTATTAAGGTTAGCTGATTTTTTTTTCTTTTTTGCAGGTTAATGCACTCCTACTGGTGTTACATCAGTCACAAAATTCCAGCCTTTATCGCAGACATGACGTCATTTTGCGCTGGACAGCGGCCAAAGTGAGTATAGTCGCCATTTGGACCAACAATGTTGGGAGTTGTTGCGTCCGTTTGCACGTATCTTCAAAACAAATAAATAATGATTTATTTATAAAATTTTTTTATTTATTTATTTAGTCGCTATTTGGACCAGCAATGTTGGGACTTGTTGCGTCCACTTGCATGTAGCTGTAGACAAAAGCACATCGCTGGCCAGACTACAAAACTCCAGCATTTAGAAATATATGTTAAAGAAAAACTATTCAAAATTCTAGAACTGAAGACTCCTGTGTTGAAGTTGATGCGCTAATTAATAAAATGAAAAATAAATTTTAGTTTAGTTTATAACTTTCCTCTTGACATACTGTTCATTTGTTCTTCATTAATTGTTTTTCCCCCCTTCGGCATCATGTTGAAATTCATGTTTTAATTCATATAGTGAAAAATTAACTTAAGTTCGGTTTGTAGCTTTCCTCTTCGCTTATTGCATTTTACTTGTTTTCGTTTGTTTGTTTCTTAATTCTTCATATTATGAAGTCTAGCGTACATATGTTGCCCAAAGTTTTAAGTTAAAGTATATTTTCTGATGATAAATGTATACGGTGGAACCCCGCCTTACGGTAACCTCGTTATTACGGCCACTTTTATTGTTTTTGGCCGCCCGGCTAAACGACCATACATTTTATTGTAGAAAAAAACCCTCGTTAATACGGTCACCCGTTAGTTCGGCCAAATTTTTTTTGGCCCATTGGTGACCGTGTTAACGGGGTTCCACTGTATCAATACAAAGGTAGTTTTGTACTTAGCCTCGCTTTAAAACAGAGGCCTCGGTGCAACTCGGAATTGGCCTGTTCGGTCTGCAATCGTACGAGTGATTAAGAAACATTAATAAAGGTTTTGCTTAATCATCGTATCACTACACTCAGTCCGTATCAGATCACCTTTTTCGCGGTTTATCCAATTCGCCCAGTTACTTGAAAGAAGAGAAATTTTAGGTTGGGGCTGAAGAGAAGGGACCGCGTCCGAGTTCAGACAGAGATAGTAAAATTTCTCGCCTTGCCGTTCCCTTTCTTAAATAAATTTAAAATTTGAGCATTTCACATCGTAATTGTTCGAGGACGGCAAAGAAATGTACCAAAAAAGCGTAATGCTCGTGCGGAGTTGTGTTTGCTTCCTAAGCCTGTTAGGGAGCTGTAGCAACGACGACCGCGACGGCAACGAGAACGTCAAAAAAGCAATAGGTTTAGATAAGTAAAAAAAAACAACAACAACAACTCTGCGTGAGAATCACGCTTTTTTGTACATTGCTTTGCCGTCACTGCAGGACTACAATGTGAAATGCCTATTTTCACATTTTATGGAGGACGTAAACAGGCGACGGCGAATTTTTCTTCCTTTTTCTCTTTCGTCGACGCTAAAGCTCCCTAGTGTGTTTTCCAAGTCCCCGTTGCCGTCGTCTTCGTACTTTCGTAAGGTATAAATTGCTTAGGCATTTATATAGAGTCATCAGAGCATAACGGTGCTTATTATCTTCCAACAAAGTTTGCACTAACAGGCTGATGTTTTCGCAAGGTGGGCCTTTTCGTCTAGTTCTTTCTGAATATGCTAACCTATTTACATTCCTTAATTTATCTGACGTCATCACTTCTCTTCTTCTATTACGCTCGACTTAAATTTTATGATTTAGCAGAAACGTCTTGTGAAAGGGAGCTAAAAATGGTTTCCTTGCGTTGAATAGCCTGCGAGCAAGCTCTCCTATTTGGGCGAGTGAAGCGAGCCTCGCGAGAACGTGCGAGCGAGCGGCGAAGCCACGCGCTTCGCTTGCCCAAATAGGAGAGCTTGCTCGCAGGCTATACGTTGAAGGGTGAAACGACTGTTGAAAAACTTCGTACAACAGCGAATTGTTTTATTATTATGTACAGGATGAATAAGCTTTATGGAAAACTGGAGAGAGCCACCAGAAGTTTGATCTACTTTACAACAAGAAGCTGGGAGGTAACAAACATCACCTTGGGTTTACAGTTTAACCTCTCCCTACGAACACCTCTATGATACGGACACCTCTCTGTTACGGACAGTTCGTTTGGTCCCAGAAATGCCAAAAATCGTACATTCATTACCTCTCTAATACGGACACCTCTGTAAAGCGGACACTTGGTTCTGTCCCTTTGGTGTCCGTATTAAAGAGGTTTGACAGTATTACTTTAAAACATTCATTGGTTCACTTTGTGGTTCATTCAACTTATTTTTTCTATGTTCCTACCAATGGCGTAGCTGCACCGTTCGATATGTAAACCACGCACAATCCCTTGATTCGCTGTGACGAAGAATTACGCTTAGCCTGCGAAAAATACCGCCATCTCTCCTTGTTCTCCTTAACCCTTTAAGCCCCAAGATCTACATACAGATTCTCCACACTGATCTCCATACATTTCTTTTAAGAATTGTGGAGAGAATTTGGTTGAAGATCAAAGAATTCTCCCTTTGGTGATCAATTTAGTAATTCTCATAACCTTTACTCTTGATGATCTGCTAATGTTGTTAGGGGAAAATTGATGTTGGTCACTTTTGGGACCTAAAAGGATAAAAAAAAGACGTCCCTAGGAGAGGCGGCCGCATTCGCAGGCAAGCTAAGTTCGAAATGTCAGCTTTTGAATCTTTTTTTTTCTCGGTGATAAATTGATTTTGATAGCTCAGTTAATAAAATCAAATTTTGTGTTTGACTCCCCACCGACACCGCGCCACAGTTCCTTTTGATGCAACTAAGGGCGCGTTTCGCTGGGATGACCCGGAAGAGGCTCAGTAATCGCATCGATCGGATTATAGCACATCAAAGGAGACGATAAATTTATCCTTTTGAAAGACTTCATTGGTTCATTTGATTTACCATGATCCGAGTGACCTCGGATCACTGATTCTAATCCGAATCATCCCAAAGGAACACACTCTAAACCCTTCGTGACAATATTTGGGTGCCACTTTCTCAGCCAATCAAAATTGAGTTTAAAACCGGTCGTGACTTGCTGGTATGCTTTTTCCCGCGCTTTTCGCCAGTGACACGTCCTTGGTTTAATATCTGAATGCTTCATGTGATTATCTTCTGTTACTGTGATTGGTCAGACAAAGTTCAGTCGAAGCGTCCCTAAAACCGACAACCGCGGGCCTACTGTAATGTTCTCTTGAATGAAGAGCTCAAGCAGCTGTAAGTGGAGTGGCCGTAAAGCGATTAGTTTCGACTGCTCTCTGGTTTTGATTTTAAGATATTCGACTGAAAAATGCTCTGTCTTCCTAGCTTTGTTCTTGTTGTTGTTGAATATGTTTTGACGAAATGAATGTTGCTGTGATTTGCAGTTTTCAATGGAGAATTATCGCGGTTTGATACAGGACATGAGTCCACAGGACCGAGAGGTTAGTCGGCCAAAACAGTTTTCTTTGTTGTTGTCACAAATAATAATATTAGTGTGTGTAAAGAAATGGTGACGAGTGAAATTATAAAAAATTTTGACAAAATGCAGGTGAAATTATTTCTTGATTTCACCAGTACATCACCTTTTTATGTCATGGGTGACAATAACGCTTATCGTGAGTTTTGACTTGTTCGTATGGAAAACTCCAAGTACTGAAAAGTTTAAAACATACATTAGAAGCCTTGTTGATAAAATTTGTGCTCTTTCGTGTGTTTAAGTACTCCTTATTGTCTTTAAATGCTCTGACATCTTCATTCGTGCTATCTTTAAACCTTGACGCCATCTGGTACAAACGTAAAATTGTCTTAGCAATTTTGCCGTAATTACACATGTGGATTCAACGCTGAAATTTTGCGCAAGAATTCAGGAGCAATTTGTTACCCATGATTTTATTTTCACTATCATACGCTTGTTCCCTTTTCAGATTTTTACTTTTGACGTGGAAAAAATTGAGTGGGAAATCTATCTTAAGCGGTTTACCATCGGCCTGAAGACATTTCTGTTGAAAGAAGATCTGGCTAATCTTCCAGTAGCACAAAGTCGCATCCGCAAGTAAGTGGTCAAATAACTATTACCTTTCGTTTTGCGTTTTTCATTCTTACTTTCTGCATAGGGCCAGTAAAGGTGGATTTCCACCGTCGCGTAATTTTTACGTGCGTACATGTTACGCGCGTAAATAAAATAGAGGCAATGTACGGAATGTCCCGCGTAAACGTAAGAGTTGAACTTCGCTCAAGTTTACACTCGGTTTTTCATACATTGCCTCTATTTTATTTACGCACGTAAAATTACGCGACCGTGGTAATCCCCCCTTATTCTAGATATAGCGCGTACTCTTAGCGGCTTATCTGATCACGACTGTCATTAAATCCAGAAACATTCGTCCCCTTTGCTGGCTAAACGATAATGACGTCAAATTTTACTGACATGATTTATCTGACAAAAAACGTGATCTAATCTGCGCATAAAGTCAAGAACTGCTTATATGAGCAAAGAGCACTCTTTTACTAAAGCACTTTTCCTATGTTGTTTTCCAGACTGCGTAACATTCGTTGGACGATGTACTTTTGTTTGTTTCTGTTCGTTTCGTGGCTCATAATTAAAAGGTTCCCAGCCGCACAGACCGCTTGGACCCAGTGCTTATCTGGTGTCCACAAGCTGGCCCGGGCCCTGGAGCCATTCAAGCTGTCCAACTAGAAGCCTTGACTTTCTAGGTCCTCCCAGGGGTGGGCTCCAAAAGGTCCGGTGTGGTATTAAACACGAAACTATTTTGTGTAAGTAATGAAAACAGAGATAAATTTCGTGGCACATCAAGGAGTTCCCAGCTGTACAGACAGTTTGGTTCCGGTGCATATTTGTTGTGCCTAGGCTGGCCCTCGCTCTTGAGCCGTTAATGGTGTCCAATTAGAGGCCATTCGCCACGAACTATCAAGGTCCTTTCAGGGGTGAAAAGAGTGATATTGGTCAGAATTTGAAAAACAGTAATCATAAATTACTTTAGAAAGTTAATTAAGAAAACTATCAGTAAATCTCGTGATGAATAAGAAATGAAAAGTAGGTTTAGGTTGATCAGTTATAGTCGTTTGTCAGATTGTTTTTTTATCGTTGTAAAAACACTAAAATCATTCATACCAAGAGATCATAATTGGACCAGTCATAATCTGTTGTTTATACTCTGAACATGGAAGCATGCTTATGATGATTGCCCTTAGAATACAAGGATAATTTAGCTTGAAAAGTAGGGATAACAAAGAAAATCAGGTTACTGTATGTCTTGACATTGAACATTTGGGAAGTTAGCAGTGGTCCACTCGCAACATTTAAATCGATATTCTTATAACTGATCATAAATGAAAAGAAACATGTTGTAATAAAAAAAAAAGAATCATTATTAAGTGATATGTCCCTGGGATTTCCTTATTGGTTAGAAAATTGAAAAAATAGCAGATTAATGGAACGAAAAGGTAAAGAACATGTCCTCCTTCCTTTCAAACATCCTTCGCGCGTCGCTGTTTGCCAAGTTCCGTCCATTTCTTTATTTGTTTATTGCAAACTTTCATGACTGATTCTCCGCTTATTTGCCCGTCTATTTTAACTCTTAGCCCTTTGGGTAACCAGCATGTAACGTAAAATATCTCTTCTTAATGTAATGTAAAGGTTATGAGGACAAAGGATGATATCCAAAGTAAAAAAGGTCTTGGTCGTTAAAAAAAAAATAGAAAAATTTTCGTAGAAATTTATTAAACACGGTTTGGTGTAAGTGCATGTCGCGATAAGGGTTTATACGATTACGGGGGAATTAATATTAGTTTAATCTTTTTTGAAATGTTTTGTATGTCTTTAGTTTATACGATATCGTTTTACCCACGTACTGTTATTCCGCATTATATGATCAGATCACTTCATAGGATAGTAACTTTAATATATAAACACCAAAAAAGTAGACCGTGCTGCGTAGAAGAAAATTTCTTGTAAGAAGACAATTGCGGTCATCATTGTTTAAGATGAGGTTAACAAATAATAAACATGTAAACGGCAGAATTGTAATTCTGGTGAGTGAATGATGGTTTTGGGTTTTTTATGTTTGTTTGTTTCTTCGTTTGGTCTGTTTGTTTGTTTTTTCATCAAATTGCTCGCTTTTGTTATAGACGCGGACTTCCTCGGAGAATACCGAAAATAGCCAAATAGGAATTAATTAGGCTTACCACAGGTAGCCCGAACTCGAAATATGAGCATCGGCGCGCATTGGCATTGTTGCATAGCATTCTGTATAAGGAGTTATATGGGGAAAAAACCTATCGTTTCTGTAGCCTACGAAGATGAAAGGATTTCAACAAAAAACAGGTTACCTTACATAAAATGTGTTACATCTCTCCTGTGTGGTCCATGGGCCAATTTATGTGCGTTTTAGGGGTTGCACTGTAAACGAATTTCTCTATATATTTGTAAACCGTATACAGTACAACCCATAAAACGGCCATAAATCGGCCCATGGACGACACAGGAGAGATGTAACACACATTTTATGGGAAGCAGTTTTTTATTGAAATCCTTTAATTTTCGTAGGTTTCAGAAAGGATAGGTTTTTCCCCATACAAATCCTTATTTTAGGCTGATTTAGCAACAGGACGGAAAAGCGCGCGGAAAGGACTAAACACGACTTCCGGTGCTCAATTTGCCGCTCTGCCATTGGTCAAGCCAGTTGTTTGATTTGCGCGCGCAGTCGTCAACTGACGTTTCCGTTCTGTTGCTAAATTAGCCTAGTAGGGAGTTTAAGATACCACGACGGCGACGGCCACGAAAACGTCGCTTAAATAGTGAATTTGCGTTCTTTCAATCTCTATTGTGATTACTCGAACTTGTTTACTTTGTCAAATGCAAGCGAACTCTTTTTGAGTCGAATTCCTAAGAATCATATTCAACTTCAGAAAGAGAAAGAAAATTTAGCCGTCGCTTGTTTACGTCCTCCATAAAACGTGAAATAAGGCATTTTCCCGTCGTAGTCGCGCAGTGACGGTAACGAAATGTACAAAAAAGCGAGATGCACGTGCAGAGTTGTTGTAACAGTTTTGCTTATTCAACCAATTGCTTTTTTGACGTTCTCGTTGTCGTCGCCGTCGTGGCATCTTACACTCAGTCTCTAGTTTCATGCAGTGCGCTATTTAAGGCCTTCCTCGACCTCACCTCATGTAAACGGGGAATATGGTTTCTGGAATCCGGGAAATTTTTGCTTGTGGAATCGGAGAATTTTGCTTGTGGAATCCGGAATTCTGGGCTTCAGGATCCAGAATACAGCTCAAGAACCTGGAATCGCACTAAATCGCACTTGGAATCCAGAATCCAAGTTCCACTGACAAAGACTGGAATCCAGTACCTGGAATCCGGAATCAGCGGCGTGGATTCCAGAATCCAAGGCTGTCTTGGATTCCCTAACATTGGACGATCGACCTTATAATATTACAAATAAAAGACGGACCATTGCCATCAAGGAACACAAGATTGGAAAACCAAACGAGAAGGGCAATATATGTGAGTGCAACTGAACTGAATGCAATGGCCAAGCGAAAACGATAATGAGAAAGTGTATATTCGCCTGTGTTGATAAAACTTTACTTCTAGTACATCCTAGAAACTGCCCGCTCGTACCTGTTGATTATTTTCCTGTAAGTTGTGGTTGTTATGTATATCTTTTGGTTATTAGTCGATTACTGGACTCCATTCTATGATATGTAATATTTACATTTTACTAACTTGTTTTTACATTATATTTGCTCGTTTTTGCTCTGTGTTTAATAAAACTGCATTGCTCTCAGCCAATCCTCAGATTCAAGAATTTTTTTTTGTTTATTATTAAGATGAAAAACAGGTTACATTCAAATAATTCCCTAAGTTCTGGGACAGTTTCAGTTTCAGTTTAGTTACAGTTTAATTATTTTGCCAGAAAAAAAAAATACATATGCATACAGACATTCAGTATTTTACAAAAACGTTATTTAAAGGTTAAAGAGACGTAAATTGTAAGTAAAAGAATTAAAAGTATTTTTCTGGCGATGAAGCTCATTAGACAAATGGAAACCTTGGGCCTTATTATAGGAGCTCCCTCCCTAAACTAAGACTAAACACAATGAATAAATAAGCGGCAAAATCATACTGAAATATAATTAGGATAAAAAGCAAGCAAAACAAAACGGACAAAACAGACAAGAAGCAGCAAAAAACAAGTATTATTTACAAATGGTTATTCAACTAAGAAGAAATGATTTTAATCTGGATTTAAAAAGAGAGATAGTAGCAGCAAAAACGAACGTAAAGCATTTTTTCTCTTTAATTCTCATCTCGTAAGTATGTGGTACAAACTGACCCAGACATAATTTAGCCCATTTTTTGAACATGTGTATAACTGTTAAGACTTCGTGGCTGCGATGAGACCATTAGTTGTGGATTAATAATTTACTGACCCTGTGAGAGCGTCAGCTAAACCTCTGGCAATTGATTAAACTTGGCCTTTTTTAATCAATTTGAATCTTTGTTCTACAGATGTATCGATCAAGAATCGGTTAATAAACTTTGTATCACTGATCATGACAGTTAAGCTCGTTTTCTAAAAACCAGACAATTGTGCTCTTTGTTTTGCCAATTGTACGGCAGCAACAAGATTGCCAATAACTCCGTCGTTTAATAAAATGAAAATACAGCCCACCGCATATCTAATTGGTTTTCGACATGATGAAGGTATCACTTAAGGAAAACAGATATATTAAAAAGAGGTTCGCTTGAGCGTAGTTGCTTCGGTGAAAAGTCGTGATAATGACAAACTAACAAACAGTGAGGGAACTGTATTGTTCTGCAAAATTCACTTGAGAGTCGAGGAGAGGTACATGGCGAGTTAATTTTTCTCTCAGACAAAAAAGGACAGCTAAATATGATGGTGCAAGTTCCGTGTTAATATTTTTGGTTCACTATACTCAATCGAAATGAACGTCACTATAGCATTTTTAATTTTAAATATTTTACCTTTCATATAACAGATCCGAATTGGACTCGCAGGGAGATGATGTGAACGGGGGAAATAAAGGTCAATAAAGTTTAAAAAGCAATTCAATGAATATATAATCTTGACGTAGTGAAATAGCAATTTAAGCAATTGCAAATAAACCGCCCAAGATGTTAAAGTTATAGCCCACAAAGTTTGACATGTTTGGGGATATACTCGGTTAAGACTTCCTCTTCTAAAGAAAATGGGGCCAATTTAGTGCTGGTATCCATGTGAACGTCAGTCAAAGCTGATTATAGAAAACCGGCACAAGCAATTTGAAGCTACAAAATACAGAAACACTTTAATATAAGCCCCACCAGTAACAGGCTCGCCAATATATTGTCCCCTCTAACTTGCACTGAAATGAATTTGATTTATTATGATATTTTGAAGCTTTTACCAGTAACTGCAAAACATATTTAAATCAGCACTGCGTTAGCTTGTTTCGAACAGCTTTTTCCAATTCCGTTATAATCCCCCTCGGATATAAGCCCCTCCGTTTAATTTATCAAGAGCCCTTCTAAAAACCCTTACAAAGATGTATAATCCCAGGGCTTTTAAGCGGCAGTTTACGGCACCGCATATCATATGTTCGCCGGCTCACAAACTTAACACCTCCGTTAGCAAAATTTTCTCGTTCTTGCTCTCACTATGTTTACTAAAACTGCTGATTGCTCTCAGCTAATCGTCGAATTCAATTCTTTTTTTCATGATTTTTATATGACAAAAACAGGTTACATTCTAATTTCCTAAGCTCGAACGAACGTTTTATTTTCTTTAATTCCCACCTCGTAAATGGCCCAGACTTTCGAGCCCATTATTTGAACATTTATACATTGTTACTGAGACCTCACTCACCTGCGATGACATTATGAGCGCGTCAGTTTAACTTCTAGCAATTGACGAAAACCGTCTTTTACTCAATTTGAATATATGCTTAACAGAAATATCGATCAAGACTTGGTTAATAGACTTTTTTATTACTAAGAGTTTAACTCGTTTTCTAAGAGCCAGGCAATTGTGCTATTTGCTGGCTACTCGCGCGGCAACACAAAGGCAACACCAAGATTGTCTAATTCCATCGTTTAATAAACTGAAAATACGGAGCAAATATTTAATTGTTTGCTGACAAGGTGCATGTAGCAGTCATATAAGGAAGACAGATATATTAAAAAAGAGTTCAGTTGACTGTAGCCGCATCGCAGAAAAGTCCTGGAAATGAAAAATTTTACTGGAGGTGAAAACCCGCAAACAATTGCAGAACTTCACTGCTCTGTGGAACTTACTGGAGAGGTACATGGCGAGCTCGTTTTTCTCTCTGTCATTGACACTTTTTTGTCAATTACAGCATTTTTGGGGAATACTCTGATCCTAGTTGCCCTTCACAAGGACACATCAATTCATCCGCCATCCAAACTCCTGTATCGTAACCTAGCGATAACTGATCTCTGTGTTGGTATCATTGTCGAGCCTCTTTATGTTGCTCATTGGACATCTGCGGTGAACAAAAGATGGGATATTTGCTATTACGCACATTTGACAGTATATTTCGCAGGTGTTACTTTGTGTTCAATGTCGTTGATAACACTGACTGCAATAAGCGTGGACAGACTTCTTGCTTTGCTACTGGGTCTCAGATACAGACAAGTTGTCTCTTTGAAAAGAACACGTTTAATTGCTATTGGTGGTTGGATTGTGTCCGTTGTCGGTGGATCTACATCCTTTCTGAATCCTCTTATAAATTCATTGTACGGATATATTGTTATAGCTTTTTGTTTAGTCACTACAATCTGTGCCTACACAAAAATCTTCATGTCTCTGCGTCATAACCAAATTCATGTTCAGAACCATGTTGTTCAAGGGC